TCAGCGCGTCTAGAGGGTTTTGTCGCTCAGTGACTGCCCACCATGTTTTAGCGACAACTGTGCTAGCTTGTTAGCCCAAAAGCTCGTTATAAAGGCAACGCAAGCAGTTACTCCACACACACGTATTCCGTATCTTCTCGTTTTGTCTACGCATTCCTATCACTTCCACAGCATTTCGGCCTTTTCTTTTAAAAGTAGCGCGTTTCTTTCTCATTTGTTTCCAAATGTTGTCTTCTCCTTTAAGTGGCTGTGTGCGGTTCTCCCTCGTAGTCAAGCTCGGTCGCTATGCTGCGGTTGGAATGGATTACGTCACACAGGTGATGGCCGTAGCCCTTCTAGTAGCAGTGCACACTCAGACTATTCATCAGAAGCCAAGACAGGTTTTATCATTTTGTATGTTATAAATGATGGAAAGTTGTCTTCCTGTTTATTACGTATGGGCGGTATGTGGGGACATTTATGACATGTCCTGGAATAAAGATCCAACTTTTAAGTGGATTTTTAATATTCAGTGTGTGATGATGTGATGTGCACTTTTTGGTGGGGTTGAATAAGCCCTGGAATAGTTAACATAAGAAGTAAACGTGCAGTTGATACATTTCATATATATATATATAATCTTCCCCGTGATTGTGTAGCCTAGTGAACCAAACTGAGAGACCATTTTGAAGTCTCAGAAAACCTTTGCAGGTGTTTTGAGTTGATTAGCTGATTGGCATGTCACCATATTCTAATTTGTTGAGATAGTGAATTGGTGGGTTTTTGCCAAAATCATCACAATTAAAAGAACATTGAGCATTGAATGTGTGCATTGAATTTATTTAATACACGAGTTTCACAATTTGAGTTGAATTACTGAAATAAATTAACTTTTCCACGACATTCTAATTTATTGAGATGCACCTGTACAATCCTCACAAATCATGATGTAAAATTCATAAAAAAATAAAAAAATAAAAAATATATTTTAATTTAATTTCTATTGAAATGTGTATGTCCTGTATATAAACATATTTTTAATTACACATTTGTAATGGTAAAGTTGTTAGTACATTTAGAATATATTAACTTTAAATGTCATATTAAATAACACATTACAGTTCAAATTAATATCAAGTACTTTACATGTGCTTTAGCAGCCTATTAGTCAACACAAAGCACAAGAAAATGTTACTAAATTGTAATGATTAAAAATGTAATTTGAAGTAAAACTTTTAATTTAACATTAGCTATTACAAAGTGCACTTTAAAGACATAAAATTATTTTTTTTAAAGTATCAAGACATAAAATTATTATTTTTTAAGTATCGAATTCACTTTTTTTCACTTTATTTTTGACTTATAAATGCTTGGCACGAATCTACTGATGGCAGTATTGGCGACACTAATGATTATTTGTTATAAATTCTACACATAATTACCAAATTAATAGGAAAAAGTGCAAAATATAACATTCCCCTCAAGAGTTTGCAACTTTTTATATATTTATTAGAAAAAGAAAGATGGACAAGCAAAATAAAAAATATATATAAATCAATCATATTAAAATAAAACAACAAAATAGCATAAACGGGCACAATATAAACGTTGTAATAATTTATCCTTTGATACTTGGATGGTTCTGTGTTTAAGCATTTTTAAATTATACTTTAGATGTAAAAGTTACCTTAACTAACGACCAGTGTTGGGGGTAACGCATTACAAGTAACGCGAGTTACGTAATCAGATTACTTTTTTCAAGTAACTAGTAAAGTAACGCATTAATTTTTAATTTACAAGAGAATATCTGAGTTACTTTTTTTCCAATTTATTGACTGACAGCTCTCCTGTCCCCATGTTGAGAGAAATCAGAAGATGTTACTGTAGTTCTAAAATAAATATGAATATGCATTAATTCATCTCACTCACAAAAAAAACACACACACACAGATTAAGTATTCCTCAAAATGAGTAAAAATAATGCAACTCAGAATATGACGTAAACCTGCAATAATTAAATGTTAAACAACACAAATATGCTTTATGTATTTAATCCCATTCTATTATCCAATGTCTTTGCTTCTGACCTTCGATGATCCAGTTCAACCGTACTAATAAGCACAAATTACTCCAGACAAACATTTGTGCCTTTTTTTTTATTGCTGAAGTGTGTTGAAATTTCTTCTTCTGCATTCTACTGTACGGACATAAATTTACTTTCCCTTCAGCCTGAGGCTTATTCATTTCACTTTTGGTGTGAAAAGGCTTTTATATTTGCCAAAAATAGAACATTTTTATTTTAAAAATAAACAAGCAAGTCTTGTCCAGATTTAAAAAGTAACGCTAACGTAACGCATTACTTTACATAAAAAGTAACTAACGTAATTATTAACTTTTTTATGGAGTAACGCAATATTGTAATGCATTACTTTTAAAAGTAACTTTCCCCAACACTGCTAACTACAATGCAATATAATCAAGGTATTTCTGTAGCTGTATGTTAATTGCTTTTCACTCTAAATCAAAGGAACCAAAGCAAATCCAGAAGTGTGCAGTTGCAGTTCAGTCATTCTTGAGAAGTGGGACAAAACAGGGTGCAAAATTGAAAAAATAAAACCTGTATCTTATATGTACTAAGCTACTGAGCTATGCTTTGATACAACCTCCCAACATTTCTCTTTTTTAACAAAATGTGCTTTTTTACCTGGGACTGTGTAATATAATTTCAACTTTATCTTTAACAGCATTCAAGATGTTTTTAACATTTCAAAACACATTCTGGTGTTAGCAGACAGATTACACTTTCACATGTGACCAACAATTCCACAACAAATATCAAATATCATAATGAAATATTATCAAAATATTCAACTGACGGAGGTGACACATATGACGGTGGTGACGAAAACCTGAATTTGTAGTAATTTTAACTAGCAAATACATTGAATCAGTCAATTACTGTATTAAAACAAACAACAAACAGTGAGTATGATATTGTTTATAAAGCTTTTATTCAAGAGTCACATTTAAGTATTTTGATATATCATTGGAACACAAAATCTTATGGTGGTGACATCTGACGGTGTTGACAAATTTGGCATTTCTTTCATAAAACCAATGGAGTTCATGTAGTAGCCATTTTATTTTTGTCTGTTGATGCTAGATGCTAAAATTATCTAAATATTTCAAATAATTTCCTCAGAAATTGGAAGATAGTGTTGACATATCATGGCTGTGACACAGGAAATATTAACATTAGGATTTAAAATATTCTAAAACTAAAACTTAGCAGAGCCTGTCTGACACTGATGTACTCTGCAGAGGGGAACTGTGGCAAGGGGGTCCTTTAGAGTGACAGCTGCCCCTGATATTCCCTGATTTTATTACATTTTATTGAATGTCTGACGGTGTTGACAAAAAGTGGGGACGCAACTTTAAAATCTTACGAAACATGCACGTGTCATTAAAAAAACAACCTTGCTTTGATAGGAGATAGTATTAAAGGGGTCATATGATGCTGCTAAAAATAACATTATTTTGTGTATTTGGTGTAATGAAATGTGTTTATGCGGTTTAAAGTAAAAAAAAAAACATTATTTTCCACATACTGTACATTATTGTTTCTCCTCTATG